GAACCCAGAGATGCCAGGGGGTGCCGAACCAGCGTGCTCGCGCACGACCTGAAGTCGCCGCCGCCAGCCGAGACTGGATGGGACGGCCGGAATGCGCCACCGTCAAGCCGTGCACGGACAACGTCGCGCCGGACTCCCAGACGAGCAGCGGGCCCGCCATGGTCGGGCCGGGGGGGCAGCGACGACGGCGGCGCGTCATGCTTCACGAGCGGCTGGGCTGCTCCCTGGTGTACTATTTTTTAGACCTGTGTTCCTAGCAAAAGTGATCAAACCGGGAGGCGCCCACGGACAAAAGATCCGACGGCATCCCCCAGTGGGTGGGTGGGCCCGGAGGTCGGGTTTCAAAAATCCAGAGTGTATTTAAAGAGTACTTGTAACGCGCGCGCGCGCATGTGGAGGCCGCGCGCGTCCCGCGTCCCGCGTCGCACCGGGAGTCGGGAATAGGTGCCATGGAGCACGGCGGTGTCCTCGTCGAGTCGGGCCGCGCCCGGCGTTCGTCGGCGGAACCGCGGCCGCACGGTGGCGGCTCCTGCAGCGGCACCGGCGACTCCCGGTCGAACCGCGGCGCCGCGCGGTCCGAGAGCGCGGTCCCACGCGCGCGGTGTGGCAATTCAGCGATCGCCCAGCGGCGCGTGGCGCGGCAACTTGAAGGCAACCAACGACAAAGGAGCTCGTTGATTGGTCGGGAGGTGGGTGGGTGGGCGCCGGTGGCCGGCACCAAGAACCGGGGATGGCGTCTGGTAATTTTTTTTGGGGCGCCTCCTGATCAAACTAATAATCCCGACTGGGATGGTGCCTGTAGTGATTGCTTCTCCAACAGCTAGAGCTTCACTCAAGGCAACTCTCTCCCGCCGCCGCGGCGTCAGAAGCCCACGACCTCGCTGTCAAGGCGGCGGCAACCTCAGTTCGTAGGGACTCATGGCACTTCCAGAATTTGATTTCTCTCCCGAGTTTCCCCGCCCCCCACCCCCCGCGCTTCAGTTTCATCAAACAGAGTGGCTACATACGCGTCCAACCACCCGATTCGTACATTTTTGCCCGTCAAAGAGCACGGTTGGCAGTGACGAGCTTTGGTTCTTGTTGACGCGCGCGTATCAGTCACCGCTTCCGCCCTCGCAGCAGCAGCAGACGCTTGCAGCACTAGCTGGTGCATCAAGCCAGGTGATACAGAGCGGATTGGCGCCGCATCAATTACCTGAAGTCGTAGAGAATAATCCGATGGTTGCCATTCAGTGCTTGCTTAAGCTCATGGGATCACCGATTCTCCCAGAGTACCTCTCCGCTCTTGTGAAAATGGACATGTCACTCCACTCGATGGAGGTAGTTAATCGGCTCACGACTGATGGGGTGGCTGAACTTCCCGCCGAATTTATTCGTGTGTATATTTCCAACTGCATTTCCTCGTGTGAGAACATAGATGACAAGTACTATCAGAATCGCTTAGTGCGGTTAGTCTGTGTTTTTTTACAGTCTCTGATAAGGAACAAGATTGTCGACGTCAATGATCTTTTCGTTGAAGTGCAGGCTTTCTGCATTGGGTTTTCTCGCATTCGAGAAGCGGCCGGCCTCTTCAAATTACTAAAGACTTTGGAGTAGCAAAATGCCCTACCGTGTCGGTTCTACAATCAAGTCGGTGGGAGTCGCCGGTATTCGGCCGTTCTCGGATGCGTTCTGGGTGGACTGGCCGGCAGGAAAGAGGTCGTACACCTTGCAATTCAATTCAAGATTTCAAGGGAGTGCCCTGGTCCTGGTAGCTGTCTAGCAGGTACTTGAGTTCTTTGCCAAGATTGGGCTTTGATAACTTCTGGTGCCTCTTGAAAGACTATTCGATCGGCTAGTTCATTCTTATGTGGAGACGAGATCGATACGTGAATGACTCGCTTCCCTTTGCACATAACTTATTGTTAGAATCCGAGTATGCTAGTATGAAGCACCAGCATAGTATAGCATGAGCATAGCCAGTATAAGGCAGACTGAGCATAGCCAGCATAGGCCAGTATTGTTAGAATCCGAGTATGCTAGTATGAAGCACCAGCATAGTATAGCATGAGCATAGCCAGTATAAGGCAGACTGAGCATAGCCAGCATAGGCCAGTATGAGCGTCCCAGCATAGCCTATCCGGGAGGATAGCATAGTCCCGAGTTAGGGTAGCATAGCCCTAGGAGCGGAATGTAGGCTCCCTAGGTAGCTGGCTTATCGCCAAGCGCACTTTGATTGTAGAGCGACCTCGAGAAGCACTCGTGGCGTCGCGGAGATTCGCAGACAGGAAGTCCATCGTTTATTCACAGTGTTTCAAACTGCATAATGCCACTAAAAACCTTCAAGAATACCAAGTGGATTGCAATCAAAGAACATGAACCATGGCTGCAAATTGTCACTGTCAGAATGATAATTGCTCTATCAATACAGCACAATGAATGAACAGATGATGAACGATCCGATAGTAGAAACGTCCACTCAATACATTTCAAACTGCATAATGCCACTAAAAACCTTCAAGAATACCAAGTGGATTGCAATCAAAGAACATGAACCATGGCTGCAAATTGTCACTGTCAGAATGATAATTGCTCTATCAATACAGCACAATGAATGAACAGATGATGAACGATCCGATAGTAGAAACGTCCACTCAATACATGGACACGACATAGCATCGAGCATCATCCAAGATAACGCAACGCGGCTATCGGAAAACCTGCAAGCCGAACGGATCACCAAAGCACAACACAAACTATACCAAAGGATACTGAAAAGAAAAAGTATATACCGTGTTAGAATCCGAGTATGCTAGTATGAAGCACCAGCATAGTATAGCATGAGCATAGCCAGTATAAGGCAGACTGAGCATAGCCAGCATAGGCCAGTATTGTTAGAATCCGAGTATGCTAGTATGAAGCACCAGCATAGTATAGCATGAGCATAGCCAGTATAAGGCAGACTGAGCATAGCCAGCATAGGCCAGTATGAGCGTCCCAGCATAGGGAGGATAGCATAGTCCCGAGTTAGGGTAGCATAGCCCTAGGAGCGGAATGTAGGCTCCCTAGGTAGCTGGCTTATCGCCAAGCGCACTTTGATTGTGCTTAATCACACTCGCGTTCTAAGGGCGATATTCGCCGCTTTATCACTTATAATATAATTGCATTTGCGGCAGTACAATATGTTTCCGGTAGCGAGCTAGTGAGTTTAGACCACCTATCATCCCGGCAGCCAATACTATTGAACATATGCTGAGGCCCCTGTTGAAGTGCAAGGTTTGAGGTTGAAGTCCAAGTTGAAGCGGCGTTTAACATATCCCGGCGCCGGCGGGATATGTTACCAAATAAAACTGCTGGTTGTGGTGGCCCCCTCCCGGCTCGACGCTTCCCCGGGGGTAGTGGTAGAGTAGCGTGCTGTACTGTAGTATAGTAGGTGTAGTACACGTCCCTCCGGCCGCTGGCCGGACTCGGATTTAATTAATAAATATTATTTTCTTATTTCGTACGGGCCGGCCTAGGCGTCGGTTGTTTCGCGCACTGCCCCCCCCCCCCCGTAGTCGAACAGTAGCCCGCGACTAGACCCAGATATTTACGCCACACTACGCTTGGGCAGTAAACGGTGTGGCACTAAAGAAGCGAAATAGAGCACACGACACTCGCAATCCTGGCTTTTTAAAGCAAGCATAATCAGAGGAAGGGCCCCGAACTGAAAATTTGACGGAAGGGATTGGCGCTGAAGACCTGTGAGGGTGTCAAAAAGGACCACTGGTGCATATACGCAGAATTGTACCGAGGACCTTAGCTGGCCCCAGATTCTGTCCACGACCCTCATGCCTCTACCACGATGAAGCTCTAAGAACTTGACGGATTGTCCCAGTCGCACCCAAGCTCGGATAATTGTAATGTGCAAGGGTGTCGGTAGACGAGACCGCTGTGAGTTTCGCAAGATGGTAAAATTCAACACCGTGATGGCGCGCATCTCAGCCAAACTCCTATGACTTCTGATTCGCTGCAATCCTGCCTTCCTTTTGATGTTCTTGTCAAAGCGTTTTTCGAGTGAGGCCAAAACGTGGCTTCCCGCACCGAAGGCAACGTTATATGTGTGCTGAGTTGTTTGTACACACTCACGAATCCTGGCGTACTCCCACATCAACTCAAATACAGACGATGACGTTTCCACGCAGTTCAAAAAATCCCCAAAGGAAGAAACAATGACTCCAGTGAGTGTAAGGTTAAGTTTCATGCTGAAGTTCATTAATAGCGGCAGGTGAGTTGTGGTGATATGAGCCAGTAGTGCGTCTTTGGCACTCATCAGATGGCGAAGTCTAGAAATCAAACAGATAGCTCGAGCTGCTCTGTGAAAAGCGATGGTGCCTGTGGCACCTGTCACCCATGCACAACAAGCTTCGCTGTGCCTGATGAGAACTGATAAATGACAAAACATGTTTGTGGCTCAATCCACACTGAGTAGCGGTACCGATAATACAGATTGTCTGCCAATATGGGTCTACGAAATGCTACCTGAGATGCGGCGTTGTTTCTGGGCTTTATATATCTGCAAGAGGATACACAGGACTCTCTCTGTCAAAATCCTATATAGCCGTGGTGCACAACTTACTGTGATGTGTTTGAAGGCGTCGTACCTACGAGCCTAGCAATACAAGTTCAGTCTTTTCACGCTCTCAGGAGGTAACGTTTTGAGCTTGTCTGTCTGGTGGCGATTGGAAATACATACATGGTGTTCCCCTAGAGGAGCCAAGTATGGAGAGCTGGCCTGTAGATAACCGAAGTGGGGTCAGAAGTGCGTTTCAGAGGCGCCGTTGCCCAGGGAACTGGATGTTGGGTTTTATCAAATATTTGATTGCGTATATCTAGTCCGACACGAAACAAATATGCAAGAAACGCATAAGGCCCTACATTGCATAGCGCGTCGGTGGGGGGTAGTGCAACTTGACAGTCGCCGCAGGATGACGCCGCAAGCGTTTTGGAGTGTCATACTTGAGTTGATATTGGGGCGTATTGGGGGGCAGTATCTGATTGCCTGATTGAAAACGCCGCGGATATGCCATCATAATACGACAAGCCCAGAACGAGTCCCTCGAAAGAGATAATGACAAGCTATCTCTGGGGGGAAATACGCGTGGAATGAAAACGCACGACCCTGAAATACAATCAAGAGAATAGTCCACGGTAAAAATCGAGGCATGTAACAAAAGACCGTGGACTGAAATGGCCACCGGGCCAAGAATATGCACCTCATCAATAGACCACGCAATTGAAAGAAGGAGTGCGGTAATACCCATTGTTGCAGTTTGCCACGCCCGCAAGGAGGTAAAACCCCGCGGGGTGCATCGGACACGATCAATGATTTTTGCTAAGGTTTCTGAGTGAATAGCATCGAATGTGTGCAATGAAGGCAATGAGGGCAATAAGTCTAGGGAGCTAAAACGCATGTGACTCGTTGGGTGACTGTTGTGTTCCCAGAGTACTCTTATCAGCATCCATGAAATACCTTCGGATTGGCTTGGGTCGATAATGAAGGTCGGTACTGATTTGTAAAGCAGGCGACTGAGGATACGTAACGTTACAAAGGGGACCTGCAGGGCACGTGGTAGTCATATCAAATTGAGCAAATAGTATTTACAAGCTCTCCAATGTCAGCTTCCTATGTAAATAAAAAAGAGGGTAATTGATGATTATGATGCACTGGAGCTGCCACATAAAGCATGGAATCACATAGTGCCTATTGATGAAATAAATAACATTCAAAAAGCACTGAGTTAGATGTGGGCGATGGCACCTTGTGTCTGTAGTGATCAATTTGGTCATCAAGAAGCCACCTAATTTTTGAAATTAGAAATCTATCATAACTAGTGCTTACTCGAGGAGTGAAACTGCCGATCTTGAAGGTACCAGTCTCGACACAAGCAAGTGGCAACTCACGTCAGACTTGAAGACAGAGTTGTGACTCTCTATGTCTAGCCCCCCCCCCGCCAGCAGCACGTCGATCAAGGCCTATGAGAAAACCATCAGATTCATCAGTCATGGACATCAGCGTTCAGACACGGACTAAACGAGACGAGCCTCCCCCCGAACGCCCGGGCTTCCTAAAGTTCGCATAGCCACATGCAAGAAATTCGTCAGCACCTATAATAGTGTTTCGGTCAAACCGATGCGTTGTCCACTTACAGAGATGTTTACATGTGGGCGCAGCGACACTCGATGCACATGGATGAGATAGATAGTGATCTCAAATACCGTCACCACCGAAAGTGCATGGTCAGACTCCAAAGCGCCACGATGCAGGGCTGAGATACATCGGGATCGCATATCTAACACCCAAATGTTGCGGTTCAGGTCTATCCCTTCCATTAGTCGTTCTTCGGAACCAAGACTAGCTCTGCTGCAGACCTTGCCGACCTGTTCTATATATGATATCATCTTGAATCAGATATATCTCCGTTGACTAAATTACTTACACCGAGCTTGACATTCAATGCAATGCTCCGGTCTATACGAACGACCTCTGTCAGCTGGGTGAGTCTCGCAGATTTCCCTGTAGCCGTGTCTGAGACTGAATTTATTGGGTGGGTGGTTGCAGTTTTAAGGAGATCATGAAGCTGGTCCGTCGTCAAGCGCCTATCGGCATGCACGGTCACTCTGAGTCTCTTACTCCTCATGTAAAAGACTTGGAGTATACCTAGCTAGGAATTTTGCAAGTTGTAAGCTGGATTCTTTGGTGTCAAAGCTTGCCTGGGCGGCACTGGCGTGTATCTTGATTACGTGTCCTAAGAATTCAGGAACAAATGAGCTAGCCTGCCGATACTTTCCCGTGCATTTAAGCACATGAGCCACGAAGCTTTTCATTATCACCAGTTGAGTGCAGGACATTTCAGACGTAGCTGCGATGCTGTTGCTTAGTGTTGTAAACTCTTCGATAAGCCCACACAATGAACCTAGTGCCGTTTCAAAAGGAGCGGCAGCGAAAATGTGGCGTGGTAAAACAAAAAGAGTAATATGTAAGTCGAAGGCAAATACACTAAACACGTCTTTCTCGAAAATGTCAGACGCTCCAGAACGGATGAGACTGCGAAACATAAATGTGGCACCCTGGCACCTAATCAGGAGATGCTGGCAACTTTGTGTTGAGAAGCATCGTCCACTACTTAGGGACGCTGCTACTTGCATCAATTCTTGATGCACAGACCTCACATCAAGAAGCTGGCTAAGTGTTCCTGTTGATTTGTGTACAGGCATGCCATCTCTGCCAAGTCTTCCCTGAGAAAACAGCGAAATAATAACGTTCTCCACCAACCAGCACAACCGAGTGTTTGATCCTGCCCGCCCACGCAGTTCGGACAGAAGTGCAAGAAGGGGAAGATGTAATCTAAATGATCCCATCCCAGGTAGGACATGTGCCGCTAACAAATACAGCAACTCGATGATTAATTCATGCGATTTGAAGATTGATCGTGTTATCAAAACACGAAGATACTCATATGCAATCATGACGGATTGATCGAGCTCGTCGCAAACCAATGAAGCTTCGCGCAAAAGGAGCAATACGGTGATAGTCTTGTCCGAACATCGGTCGGCTATCAACCACTTCATCCGGTGTTCCTCTGTTATACTCCCGTCTATTTAAGCCTACCCTCCCGCTAGTAGTATGTGTACAGAGCGCGCTTAAAATGTCCTGCGCCCAAACAACAAATGAGCAACCAATATCCTAACTAGGATTACATGCTCCTGTGATACTCTCCTCCCTTCCCCGTCTTCGTACATTATAATAACCTCGCAGTTTGTCTGTGCGGTACCGTGCCTCCTTCTTAAGTCAGTTCTAGCACCCACTAGCCTCGATAGTTAACCTTCGGGCAGCAGGGCAGCCCCACTAGGCTGCCTCCCTGTCCCTGAGTTTACTATCTCGCTAGGGTGCAATGTAGCCGGAATCCTAGATTACCGACAACTGAGATAAAGTGAGCATAGTATTGAAGTGCAATGTGAAGGGCAGCCGTTGGCAAGGGAAAAGTGCAATGTTGGGTGTTGAAGATACGTGAAGATACCTTTGAGCGATGTCCAGATCAGGGGGGGCAGCATCCCTCATGTAGAAAACTGACCAGGCCCGGCGGCGCCCCTGGCGCCCATGGGCCCCACTAGTCTAGTGTAGACGCCCGAAGCTCAAAACGCGCCACAGCGACGCCATGGTGACCCGTGGCGCGTCCCCATGGCTCGCCCGCGTCCACCGGCCGCACCGGCCGAATCAGGTCTCGGGGCCCTGTGGGGCGTCAGTCGACCTCGATGACCGCATTTGCGCGTCCGATCGAGTCAATTGGTGCGTCGTCGCTGCCTGACACGTCAAACACCAGCACGGCCGGCGTGTTCGTCGACCCGATGCCGCTCAAAGACGTCTTTCGGTAGTTCCGGAGCGTTTTCACAAGGTCCCGAACAATTCCGGTCGCTCCGCGGCGCCGCGTCGCGGTCCGACACGCCAGGAGATACCAGACAAGCGTCGCACTCGACGGGCTACGCCTGGCGCAGCGTTGGGGCCGTCTGAGCGGCGCTCGAAGCACTGTCGCAGGCGGTAGACGCCCTTGTAACGGCCAGACGTTCGTCGACACGCGCGAGATCCGCGTTCAAAGCAGCTTCGAGGACGTCCAGGGGTGTCAGGGCCTCGTCGCCAGCGCCAAAGCCCAGAGCGGCGTGCACGAAGCGACGACGCGCGCCGAAACCGGCTCTCCGAGCTCACAGCCGGGCCCCGCTTTAGGCCTCCTTGCCTTCAACCAGGGCTAAAATCCGCGCACTTTCAGCGGATGCGGAAAAATCATAGACGGCCGCGGAAAAATCAGCCGTGCGCCAATCTCTGCTACCACGTAGCCAGAGCGCCAGGCGACGCAGAGGCCGTATCCAACGCCGTCGATCTACTGGATCCCGACCCGCTCGCCGTTCTGGCACGACCGCGCGCGGTCGCCAAAACGCGACGCGCTGGGCTCTACCGCGCGAAGTTCGTCCCCCCGAAGCCAGCGGGTACCACCACCGCGTCCAGGGCGCTCTATTTATCCTTGGAGGAGCAAGCGCCGAAGGACGGGGGGCGCGTATCACCTACTTGGTGTGCCCCGCCCCCCCTGATCTGGACATCGCTCCTTTCCTCTTTCTTTACACCTCGCGACACCGCAGTCGGAGTGTGCATGGTGCTGGATAGCCCGATAGTATAGCAGAGAAAAGCCAGGTAAGTCTAGTTACGTCACTCTAATAGTATAAACCGTGACCCACCTACAGAAGTCTCTCTGCCTCTCTACTTGAATTATTTTGGCGGCGATCCCGACCATAAATCCACAAGCCCACCGAAGGTCGGCCCCGCATATCATGGTTGGCCATCATGCGCCAACCCACAGCCAGGCGCCCCGTGGCCACTGGCCGGCCCGGGGGCCAGGGTGCGCGGCAGAGGATTTCCCCTGCACAGACTCCCCCTCCACGTCAAACAAGACTGACCGTTGTTGCGTGCGCGAAGCTTTCACTGCTGTAATTATCTCTCAGGCGCCTGGCTTCCACCAGGCTGGCGGTCCCGCGCTTGCTATCCACGCAGATTGCCATGTAGAGTGACTATTTGCTTTGCGAGTTGTATATTGCAGATACTTCCCATTTGCAAATTTCCAGATACTTCCCATTTGCAAATTTTGCACTCACCGCAGTCGACCAGTAAGCTTGTGAAGATCAACAACAAGGGCGGTGATGTCGTCAATCATGGGTGAGAGGCTCTCCCATCGCCTTCGAGCTGACATGCAGAGCATGTGCGCAGCTTCGCTTGGGTCCCATTCTCCCGATCTACAATCGGTTGTGTGTTGGGGTTGGGATAAGGGACGGGCGTACCGCGAAGTCAGATGAGAATGCACGATCTGCGCAGCCTGGTTATTGTCAATGACATCCCAAACGCCGTCCGTTGCACTGTAGATGGATTCCTAAGAGCGGCGGTTGCCAAAGAAAGATACCAACCAAATGAGGAATGCATCGCTTTCATCTATACGATGGTCTGTAATTTCCGGTTCGCAGGATACACCCAGACCTATGGCAAGTCTGAGAGAAGCCCCCCCCCCCCCCCCCCAGAAACCGTGAACAATCGAGTCCCCAAAAGATCTACTCATTGCCAAGCCCATTTGTCGCCATGATTTTGATGCCTATAGCTATCACTTATATAATAATACGACGCACACCACAAGACCTCCTATACCAAACCCTCGGAGGGCCAAAAAGCACAGGGATCGGTCCATTGCTGCCATGTCCTACGACTAGCTGAACACAACTATGCTAGAATGCGACGTTGCTCATCAGGTCTATCGGGCTGTGGAGATTCAAAGATAAGCCATAGACAATTTGGTGGTTAAAGGGAATGATTTGCAAACCTTGTGATCAGATGTCAGCGGAATGGCACAGATGCTCCCATTATGCACGTGCCCAAGGACACCTCGGGAGTCACCGATGTTTGCCACTTTGAGGCTGGTGCCGTTTATGTACATAAATACACACGTAGCACCGCTGCATCTGACGTCAAAGTTGCTGTCATTTAAATCCTGGCGGGGGGGGTGGCATGCTTGCATATTAAGTACATCATGTCGTACCTGCTGCATAACGCGGAAGGAACGATTCATGTTTAGATCCGATTCTAGGAAATGTGCACATAATTGTTCGCGGCAATGCTGAGAGACCAAATGGCCGACTTCTCCATGTCCGTCTAGAACTGCAAAGCAGTGCTGGTTGGTGTTAGATTGTAGATCTTCAGATATCAGATACGCATCCTGGTTCTGCCATCGTGGATTCCCTGGTTTTAGCCCGGCCATGGTGCAAGCTCCACAAAGTGTTGTTCTGCGTCGAGAGGCGCAAATTTCACCATGGTTAGCCATGGGTAGGGTGGACGTATTGCGAGATCTCCGCTCGGGATTGATCTGGGGGAGATTCGGCGCATTACGAGTCGCTCGTGAACGATGTGGTCGTCGAGAGCTTGCCGCAGACCAATTCCTAGTGCTGCGGAAATTAGCATCATGTGAGAGGCTTGCTAATCTTGCTGTGTCATGGGCGATCCTTTTACGAGTAGATCCCTGGGGGTTGCGGTCTTCAACTTCTCGTTCCCTGTTTCGACCAGTTATGCGTCGAGGACCGATTTCCGCCAGGAATCGCATGGTGTCATTATCCGTGGTGGGAGTGCGTCCAGCAGTAGTTGTGCGGGTCGTCCTTTCAATAGATGATTTTGGGGTGCGATTGGCGAAACCGTTGTGCTGAGATCTTCTACCGACCCGCGATGGTAGATGGGTGGGATCAAATGACATGGCCGTTAGCCGCTAGAGAGCATACGCCGTATTGGAATGTAGCGGCCACGGATGATACGAGAAAAGCGCGATCACTTACAAAACTGCATTTACGGTAGGTGAGGTACTCGATGATATTTTTGCGGCCTCTAACTGAGTGGCCGCTTTGGTGAGGGTAGTTACCCTACCAACAGTACTTGAGAGGTTCTCTGTCACTTTGGATAAATCGGCAGAGGATACTTTAATCTCGCTATTAGTCCCTTCCATGGTTTCTGTGATGAGCGTCTTCAATCCTTCCTTGTGCTTAGGGACAATTCCCGCTACATGCCCACTAATAAAATCTGCTCCGGAAGTGAAATCCTTCTGGTCCTTGAGCTTCTTGGGCAGCTTCTCCGTCCTCTCGTCCAGACGTAGAACAGACTCATCTAATTTCTCGTCGACCGTTTTGACACTTGCAGTAAGACGGTGTTGACTCGCAGTAATGATGTACGGGACTTAGATTCTTTACAGGGAAAGGAGAAAGGGGCCCCATACTAAAGTGGGGATCTTGGGACTGAACTCAGGCTCATTGCAAGAAGGGGAAATAAGGACAGTAGGGCAGATACAGGAGAATCTTCCTCCTGGGCTTATGGCCCACCGGGTCCCGGATCGAAGCAGTAGCAATGTTTATTTTGACAGAACGGCAGTGCTGATCTAGCCTGACTGGGTTTGGCTGAATTGACACTACTGGAGACGACTAGTAGCCCGTGCTCCCGAACCCCTACCCCCCTCGGGGGCTAGTAATAGTATCGTGGGCTAGTATACATATCCTGAGGTAACTTGAAGGTATGTTGAGGTAGAGTCGGGTTGAATACTTTGCGCTCGGCCTTTTCAATTTCTCGTACTATAATAGGGTCGGGTCTTGGACCAAAACAGGGTCATGGCAGCGTATCTAACTTACTTTGAAGTGTGATGAACCCACCCGTAAAGGACGTCTGGGAAAATATCGGCCTTCTAGAACCACGATTCCTCACAGGTTCGCTCTGTAGGCTCTTCTCGAAACGATGGCCTACCCGTCTTTGCAACGCCGCGGTCCTGCGCGTATGCAGAAGTTGTGCAACGCCCCCAGTGGCCTCGAGGTCCGCGAGGATGAGTAGGGCACACGAGAAGACATGGCGCTGTGACGAGCGCGTGGGGGGCAGAACGAGGAGTTGAGGAGACTGGGAAGGGATGCAGTGCCCTTGCGTCAGAGATTGGGTCAGAGATTGTTCCTCATTGACCCAGTCGGCCGAGCTGCATTTTGTCGTGAGCAACCTCCGAGCGCTACCGGTACGAGACGCGGACAGAGAGATAGTGCAGCGGACCGCTGCAGCGGCTCAGCCCGACTCGTTCCGGGGGACCCGCCGAGTCCGCGGGACTGTCTCCACGCCAGGAACTCGAACCCACGCAGCCCCGCTTCGATCCAGCAACCATCGCGTGACGTGCGGTCCAGCAACCATCGCGTGACGTGATGAGAGAGTGAGACAGGACGCAGTTATCGCCAAGGGTCTGACCGGTGCACTCCCGAGCCAATGGACCGGGACCGCAGGACTGAGCTCGGGCGCAACCCCGCCCATGGGGCGCAACCCCGCCCATGCCGTCCCAGGAGCGGCTGGCTCCATCGTACCGAATCATCTGAGTTGATAGTTGGGAGTATCTGCAGTGAAGAATACTGAAACCGAAGAGAAGCCCTAAGGAGATATGAGTTTGAAGATGGAAAACTCCCGAACTAGCTGCGCCGAGTTTAGTTCCCCTTTGATTTCCCGATCCGAAGCCCCTAGATTGGTCCCAACTCCGTTGGAATTCGGTGGTTTTGTTCTTGAAGCAAACATATTTTCTGGATCGTTGCGATTCATTATCTCGGATATATCATGCTCTCTATATGATGTTGGTGGTGGGTGTACTATTGGAGCAGCGACACCGGGTGGAGTTTTGTAGGCCGGGGTGATACCACCTTCAACCAGGTGCGCCTCTGCAATATCGACCTCAACTTGACGCTGCATCTCAATAAATTCTCTCTCCTTCAATGCTGCTAGTTGGTGCTTTGTTTCGTATGGGTTTGGGTTGGTGTATGCTGATGATATGGCGTCCTCTGCGCTATCAACAAAATCTGCATACTGCCCAATACACCTTGGATTCTCGGAGATGAATGATTGCTCTTGTGATAGAGCCTGGGATGGAGATGGCGCTTCAGTTTGTCTCGCGGCATTTTTTATTGCGGGGAGTCGATTTACTGACACGGCAAAACTGGTGTGGGTACCCCATGGTTCTGGTAAAAATTGGCGTCTTGATGATATATCTGAAGATAATGCGCAAGCTGTATTCTTGTTCAGTTCGGCAGATGCTTTCACATCAAGGATCAGGGACCCAGCGCGCAAGGTGACAGAAAGATCTACAGAGCCACCGCCCAAACGCTCTATTCGATTGGCAATGTGTCCACATAATGTTCTGAGAACTTTCTTTGTAAGTTCTTGTGGAGATATGTCTAAGATGACTATGCTGAAGTGGATTTCATAGCAAATCGGCGTCTCAATTGTCTCAATTGGATTGGATTGCATAGCAATAGGAAGAACGTTAACGTCAGTGGCGTCTCGTTTGAAGGAGCTGTCCGTCTCGCTTGCGTTACTCATCACCAGGCTTTCTTCACATACTTGAATTTCTGTTGAAATCACAGCACCTGCCAGAGGTTCTTTATCTTGGGAATCTATATTATCAAACGAGGTAGTATTTGTGCCAGTACCAACAACTTGAAGATTGTTGTTAATGGTTGCATGGTAGTCTACTGACACCAGGGGCGAAATGCATGAAGCGGACTTATCAAACAGTCGAGGCGTCGAGTTTGAGATCTCACTTGCTATATCTTTAGCCGGGATGATGGACCCGTCATTGGATGCGCTTGATTCAAACACTTCCATCTGACGGTGAGGTATATCGCAGCGTGTGCCTTGTTCAAAGAGCCGAATATCCGCATGTTGTTTGGATTCGACCTCGAAGGCAAGGGGTGCAATTTCTGCGAAGACACCCAAAACGATGTTCGTAGCCTCTTGTCGCACTTCGTGACCAGCGCTCACCCATATTGCACACCCTCGGTGTGATACTCCGCTAACACGGCCTATTGAGTCGCGTATCAAAGATCGCCCGTGGGCTCCAAAACATGAACAGTTTTTGTCTGCTCCTGTCTCATGTGACCAGACATGGTGTACTGTGCGGCCACGTAACACCACCTCCATGTTTGATGGCGTCACAAGTACGCCCTCGGTAGATTGCAATGCAATGACGGGGAGAGGGATATTGGAAAGTGAGAGGTTCTTAGCGCCATCCAAAGCGCCGCGTAATAGAGCAAGGCGTCCTCCGAGCGTAATGGGATTTGCAACTGCAGTGTATATATTTAGAGCGAGATTCGGATGCACACGTGTAAGGTATGCATCACTGAACTGAAATCGTGAAAGGAATGAAATTGGCAAATCAGGACGGTCGGCGGGAAACTGTTCAAATGCGCCCAAAGCGGCATGTAGTATCGCTGCATACTGAGTGTCGACTTGTGGAACACCATTGATGCTGACAAGCCCCCTCAGTGTGAGGTGATATATCCCAATATTGTGGGTGAGCTCGGCACAAATGCTAAGTCCATATCCTATACCAACCAAGAAGAAAGGTGACGTAGATAAGAGCATTTCGCCACAAAGGTTGACATGATGTAGAAGCTCGGCAAGGTGCTGTGCATGCAACATCACATTGATACCACCATCGCCTCTGTCGGCTGAGAAGCTCGTACCAGCTTGACCGGCATAGTTATATACTAAAATTTGACAACCAGAATTGTGATCGGCGATAGCCTGGAAAAATATTTTGCTCGCGTCAAGCGTGTCGAATAAGTCATGGGCGACAATAAAACTGTGACTGGTGAGCTCAAGTGAGGGTTCCCCAATGATTTCATATGGTAACGTAGTTGAACCATCCGAGCAAATAAACGACCTTCTTCCTTGACTGCCCATGTCCTTCGACTTCTCGTAGGCATTCATCAACCTGTCTTGCGGCCTCGAGGCGAGTCGTTCCATTTGGCGACGCTGTGTCACAAGCCGCGCTGCCCGTTCTTGCTGCGTCAGCTTGCGACGTGGCAGTCCACGATGCCGCCTATACCCTAGTGCAAATGGATTTTGGTTGGGTGCCACAGCCTGCAACTCTACTGGAAGCAGGTCCACGGCTCGGGCAAAAAGCAGGTTTGAGGAATGTGGCAGCATAGGTGAATCCACGCGGGACAACTGTGCAGATGAGGCCAAAGTAGAGGACCAGTCTTTCAAGGGGGGCAGATGAGGTATAGCATGCGAAGCGGAATCAACATTAGACCATGGCGACGATGTACAGCAGCCCCCACCAAGACGACCCAACGAAGCTGTAGTGTCTTTGGTGCTTATACCGCCACTTCGAAGTGCGCGCATTGCGAGGTTATATCTATGATTTTTCTTTGCTGCAATAGAGGTCTTGTCCACAATTGACTTCTTATTCATTGCGGCAGAGCCAAGAAATGAAGCCGGCAGGGAATCCAAGCGTTCATGACCACGTCCGACACGCCACTTGTGAGCCTCAAGCATCCCCAGTACCCAAGCACACGCCCTGGATGCAGAAGCGCTGACGTGAACCATCGCTACTGGGTGGAAAATGCTCTTGCTGATATAGGGTTCGAGGACACGTTCAACAAGGGGCGTGATTGAGTCACAGTCAAAGTCTAGAAGCGCCCGCCTACACCGGTGAAGTACTTTTTAGAAGCAAATAGGTCTATTATAAACTGAGCAGAATACGTCTATAATGAATAGAACACGAGGAGACCCAGCTGTTTGCAGAAACGTCTCACCGTTCGCCATAGCATGACGTGCTTCAGCCCATCTCAGCGTCCGGCCGCCAGTCAGCAGCACAAATAATGCCGTTGTTACTATTTCCACTGCGAGTGGAGGTGACACATAGCTTCGCAGCTCTGCTATATCAAGTGTACTCAGACAAGAAATGGCATGTTGCACTCGTATCATTGCGCATGTCTCTGGCGTTTCCATGGATGTGCACATGCCAATCTTAGCAGCGTGCGAGTTCGACTTCAGCGGTGAATCAGATCCGATCGACACAGCATCCTGTCTTTGAGGCACGGCTGCGTCACATCTGTGATTATTTGCTATTTTCATGTTAGTTTCGTCCCACTTCCGTGCCCGCTCGATCAAGTCATATACGCAAAAACATGAAAAACACACTCGTACTGTGCCATAGCATCGGCTAGGGAATTCGCCCAGCGTTGAGTCGTTGTTAGCCTGACTTGCTACAAAATTTCTGTCAAACAAACGCCCTTCGCGGTGGCGTCGCAGCATCAGTTTCACGAGGTCCGCTTCTTCTCGTGCGCGGAGGATACAACGGAATGGTACTTCCACCGTTCCTTTGGCTGCCCTTGAGGGCGATGTGGAGGTCATGTCCTTTGCATCAGCCGTACTATCGAGGTCGAGGAGCTTTTTGCGGAAGTCAGACAGCGTCGGACCAAGGTTTGATATACTCGGGCCATCCGTGACCCGTTGCAGTGTAATATCTACAGCGCAAAAGTCGCCAGCACAGCCTACGAACCTACCCTGAGCGTAAATCAGAGTTCATATCTAACCTGTGGCTTGCGACGTGCCAAGGGTCTTTGATTGCCAGGGATTTGCCCGGGATTTCGAGGCAGAAGCGCCCGTGGCCCTTAAAAAGCCGGGGATGTCTACCGCCTGCGACTGCGACATTTGGGAGTTTGTTCTTCTCTCAGGTGACGTTAATCGGTGTCAGCGCGGGTGGTGTGCAGGTGATATATATATAGCCGCCAGATATATCAGCCACCTGGGATATGCAGGATACAGAGGAGAGAGACAGGAGATATATCTCGTACTCGAGTACGAGTTATCGGCTGTCGCGGACACCCCCTATATTATTGTGCGCCTGGAGTGCACGAAAATCTTCTTTGGAGGGGAGGAATGGATAAATGTCCGGGAACCGGCCTGTGGCGGGCCCCGGGACAATTGGCTATTTTCAAGAGACAACCCACAGCTCAAAATGCAATGCTGCCACACTGACGGTCAAACACCCAGCAAGGAACACGGCCAATTCTTGAGTCGCATGCTCGAAGCTCAGAAGGTATTAGGAGACTACAGCTCATACAAGAGCACAGTAGACACATTGGCAGCTAAGGATTACCATCATGATGGTGTAAAAACTCTTCACCTCAGAATGAAAACATGGCCCGAATATGCCAAACACAT